ACTGTTTATTTTAAATTAAATACACGATTTAAGTATATGAAAAATATGAATATAGTGTATACTGTAGATTATGATTATAATAATTTATTAATTTATTTACAACAGAGATTTACGGCAAACAACATATTCAAATAAAAGAAACGATAATATTATTATATCTAAATTAAAAAAAAAAAACCATTATCGTTTTACGACATCAATAAAAAATAAAAACTGCAACATGTACTGTAGATATCACTATGCGCATACAATGCTATATCCGCAGTGTTAATCAAAATACATATACATTATGGATGTATTATTCGATTAATCAGTACATTTATTTCTAGTTTATTTCATGAATACAATTTATGAATAACGTTTTACTAAGGCATGTAAGTTGTATTGTTTTTCACTCCCCACTAGCTGTGCTTTGTGTTTACTGAATCGTAACAGAATAAAACAACAACAGCAGGTGACAACAAACTGTCATATAGATGTTATAGGGGGGTTTCGATGATTATTAGCTGGTTGCTAATGTACACAGATAGAAAAAAATATAGGTTTACAACAATAGCAATATTTTATAGATACTCGAAAAATATACCTGTAAAATAAAAATAAACTAAAAAAATGTTTTCCGAGTGTTTGAAAATACAATGGTTATTAAATGAATAATATAATAAGTACTGAATTCAAATTAAAAGAAATTAATGTTATATTGTTAATGAAGATTGTGCACCATCTACTACAATAGTGCAATTTAAAATTCGTTAAATGAAGATGATAATGTGATTATACTGTATGTGGGTAGTGTGTTATGTTGTTAAATTATCATTTATCATTTTATATGTTTATGTTGCAAAATTGTTTGTGTGTACGTGTGTGTGGCTCGTGCCCCATAACGTTGATATAAATGTATTCTAAGAAATTTGAAAATAAAACGTGGCGAAATTTCACCATTATTTTCTATAATACACAAACATTTTAAATATATTTATTTGAAAATATTATAGTTGGAAATTTTTTCATTAAAATAGATAATTGGATTTGTTCAGAATAATAAATAAAAACAGTTTTTTATATTTATCTAAAATTAAAAATGTATGGTTATTATAGTAGTCAGTAATACGCATATATTATTATATTCAGGAACAAAAAGAACGTATTCATCGAGTACAAATTGTATTTGAGCCAGCAAAACAGTTTTTTATTTAACATTTATATCGTTGGTTTTATATTAAAAGAGGGATCATGTGTATAATATACTGTGGCCCTGGGGAAGAGAAAACCATAAATGTAAATACGCCTCTGCTTATTACTACATAACCTCATTGAATAATTTAAAATCGAGTTTCAGTAATTTAAAATAGCAAAATTTTTGTGGTAATATAAAGCATTCATAAATAAATGAGTATAGCACTTATTTAAATGGGACTAATATTTAAATTTCATATCCAAGTTTAAAACGAAAGAGACGATCACCATATTTCTCGATTTCTAGCATTAATAACATATTGGAAAATGAGAAAACATTAGGGCTCTTCTAATCACTACAATAATTTATACCTTAAACAATTTGTCATATTATTCAGTATTCTTAGTACCTATAGTTGAAAATTAATACAATATATTATGTATAAATTACACAGATAATACATTTTAAAAGTAATTTATTCTATACAATTTATTATATTTTTCAAATTTAAATATATTATCATCTTAATGCTTTAATGCATTTAAAAATTATTTTCCCTAAAAAGATTTTGATTCTTTTTTTTGGATATTATTTCTCCACATGTATTTTATACTGGACATTTTTTCTCAGAATATTTATTTATAACTAGATATTTTTATAGTTTAATGTTAAGTTTATCTACAAAATAATATGTGAATTAGTTCACTAAAAAAAAATACAAAAGTTTAGGCATTCCTAATCAATTTAACTTGTGGTATTTGCACTTCTTCATTATTTAATAAAATATTACTTAGTAAAATAATATGCCACTCGTTAGTAATAATTATTATATTATAAACTTAAAATAAACTCTATACAATATATCTTCGTGTATATATTATTGTTTTGTAAATAAATGTTAAGCATTTCAGTTTTTATTTTCGAAAAATATTTGAACAATATATTCCATTGTGAGTTGTGCTTGTGACCCATAAATCTGTTGAAGTGGAAATAGAATATTAATTTCTGTGCCTGAGCATTAGATGTTCAGTATAACGACAAATGTTGAAGAAAAATAAAGTAGAAAGTTTTTTGTAAAAAGTATAATAGTCCATCACTCATCAGATAGTATATACCATATACGTATACTATATATAGGACAATATATGAAATGGGCTTTTTAAAACATAAATTACGTGTTTATTCTAAATATTATACAATCGGGGCGTAATAAAACATTACAATTTATAACACACACCCTTAGTAAACACTGGGTTCGAATTGGTCACATATGATATGATATATTATATTATTTATACATGCATCATGCAGAAATAATGTAAGTATAATGCAATTTCGAAATAGGATTTCACTAAGGTTTAGTTTATTTTACGTCACGTACGAGATAATGACCCGTATAATAAATATGTTTATGCTATATATATCGTAAGTATATATTATGCAAATGTACATATACTAATACACGCACACATAATATCATATCGGTACTTTAATACGCGCATTATTATTTACGTTTTAAGACGTAAGGAGAAAATAAAAACCACTATAAACCGTAAAACTGTTATAATATAATATAATATAATATAATATAATACAATATAATATAATATACTGTGTATTGACAAACGCATCATATGACATAATTTCATAATAGCGTCTCTTGGTCACCGCCGCTATACAATGATAACGATTATTGTCATTTTGTCGGCTAAACGACCGAGGCTGTTTTATACACAATATAATAATATAAAGAAAACTGATGTAGTGATGTACAACAGCTACAGCTCTCTGTGACCACGCGTGGCTCGTGCTCGTCCCAAAACGTCATCTGCCCCGTGTGTTAGTGACGACGTGTGGGTTCAATGTGTAAACAATATCATCATCAAATTAATGAAATCGGAAATGCACGCACACACAGAAATGTACTATTCCAACGATTATATCAATCGCGTCTCGAACGTGGGCGCTAACGGCAGTCGGCAATCGGTTTTAAACAATAACGCGACATCATCACTTTATTATATAGCTGTATTTATCGGTTCATACGCAATACACGTGCGTTGAGTTCCTAAAAAATCAAATATTTCATACAACACACTTTATATTTGGTTATTATACACTCGTTCCCTCCAAATACTACTCATATTTCGTGACAATCCAATCAAACCATACACATCATTAAAACTTCCAAGCCATGTTACTAAACTTTTATTAATACGTAATCTAGACTGATAGTCATGATTTTCATAAATCATTATAATAAGTATAATATTGATAATGTTTTAAATTTACTGTTTATTTCAATCACAAGAAATATTATCATTAGTTTTTTAGCCAAATATCGTGAAACCATTACTTTTTTTACATTCAGATTCAGAATAACGAGCATTTATGGGTAAGCGCATACTACAAGTTGAACTTTAAACTGCATACGTATAAAACGCATTTGATACCGGGAAATTCGTGCCCTTAAGACTAAAAAACATACTGTAAAGCGTTTTGTACATCTATACTACGACATATTATATTATTATCGAGCGCATTGATCAATGGTGAACGGCTAGGGGTTTTGTTTTTGTTTTTGTCTTTGCTGTCCGAGTGAAAGTGGCGTATGTACGCATTGCAGGCATCGGCTTGCAACTTTCCGGAACTTTTTTGGGATGCTTGACTCGCTGAGCTTGCGATTTAAATTTTTTACAATACGATATTTTGATAATACGCCCGGAGACATCGCTATACATTTTATGTTGGGCATTAAAAATCGATGGTATTTAAATTGTCCGCATTGCCCGCACGACCGCCGACGCAATCGATACACATTCGGAAATGAATCACCACGAATTGCTACGCGCCACGATAAATGCGCTAAAAATGTTTGCAAAAAGGTCCTCTGGCCCGCGGTGGCCGGTCACAAATCACAATAATAATGTACGCGCGATGACCGCGTGCATATAATATATTATTATTATATTGTGTGTGGAGGTGGGCTCTCTTTATACGATATATATATGCAAAGACTGAAGCGCATGCGAGACGGTCGCCGATAACGGCGGCGTACAGAGACAAGCCGCCGCCGCCGCCTCCACGTTTCGGACCGCCTCCTGCTCCTCTGCGTGGCGTGCGGTGGTGACGGCGGCGGCGGCGGCGGCGGTGGAGGTGGTTGTCCTGCAGCAGGCGCGCATGTGTTTGTAACGATTTGGGGTGGTGGACGGGTAGGTGTCGCGCGCACCGTGCGCGGTGGTGGCGGCGGCGGCGGCGGTAGAAGAGCGTGGACGGACGGACGGATGGATGGACGACGGCGCGTATGGTGTATATACGCGCGAGCGACAAAGCGGGGCGGACTGGCGGCGGCGGCTGCGTTGGCGGCGACGGTGCGGTGGCGGTGGTGGTGTCAACGGTCCGTGTCGATGGCAAAGCGGAGGGATTATATTATACACCATCCCCACCTCCCCTACGTAACCTCACCGCCCCTTACTGCCGTAGACGTCGTTGGCAGCCGCTGTCGGACGGGTGCGCGCGTACGTACAGCTGTGCGCGCGACCGCCGGCTCCGGGTCGGCCGGTACAGTGGCGGGGGCGGTGGTAGTGGTGGAGATGACGGTGCGTGTGTGTGTGTGTGACAGGGAAGGGGAGGGACGACCGTGGCGGGGGTGTGACGGGGTGACGGAGGGATCCCCGCCGCACAATAATCGTTTCGGTTTTTTTTTTCCTTTTTTTCTCTCTTTTTATTTTTTTTTTTTTTTTATTTATTTTTTTTTTTTTTTTTGGCACACGCCGCCGGTGTACGAACCAAGTCGAGTAGCCTGACGGTGGTGGCGGTGACGGCAGTGTCGTCTCGACCACGATTACGACCACGACGACGATCACAGCGACGACGGCGACGACGGCGACGACGACGACGACGACGACGACGACGGCAGCACCCAACACCGGCACCACACACCGGCGACGGCACGCAACGCGCGCACACATACGTACACACGCGCGCATAGACGCAGCAGACATCGGAGAGTCGAGAGAGTGAAAAAATTATTATTTAAATTTTTTTTTTTTTTTTTTTTCATCCAAACGAGTCGCGTAAGCGTTTTCATTTTACGCACACACGCACGTATATATAAACATTTATTAATTTTTGTGCGTGTGCGTATCTCTTCCTCGGAAACTACGACGACGATATATTATAGAGTCCACTGCCGACACCACCGCGGCGTCAAAATAATAATTACACGCGCATATAGGCGTTCGCGCGCGTGCCACACTCGTTTTCCATTCGGCTCGGTCGGTCACAGCCAGCCACTAGCCAGCCAACCAGCCAGCCGACCAGCCGACCAGCCAGTCAGTCAGTCAGTCAATCTGCCGACCACCAGTGCTGGCGTGCACGACAGCTGTGGCCACGGGTGCAGTATCGCGACGTCGACCTGAAGCAACGGGGTGACTATATATTATACATATGCATAATACATAATATATATATATATTAAATAATAATATAATAATAATATATTATATTATACGCGTATATGTATACATCGTTTTTTTTTTTTTTTTTTTTTTTACAGTACCTGCGTAATAATAATAATATATTATAATATACGACGACGACGACGGACGGACGGACGTGTCGTGTGGTCATTGTATGACATTATATAATTATATTACGTTAAACTGCGGTTGTCGCGCGCCGTCTCGTCTACCGTTTTACCCGGTCACATTAAAATCGTTATTTTTAAATTGGACATTATACACACGCGAATTTATAGCGTACGCCAATTGACGCGGCTACTTCTGCTGTTCCTACTGTTGTCCGTCTGCACCGCACAGCACGGTTGCGCTAAACTGCTGCGGCTAATTATTTATCGTATACGGACCGAGCACGCGCGCGAGCGTGTTGTATGTGTGTGTTTTGGTCGCGACGACCGTAATCATTATTAAGACGGTAGCGCGTCATCTCGAGTTTCGCGTCTTCAAGTTTTTCGCGTTTTTTGCGTTTTTTAATTTTTGTTTGTTTTTTTTTTTTTTTTTTTTGTTTTTTTTTTTTTAACGTCATTCGAAATCGTCGTTTATTCGGCATTAGGTCTCGCGGTGTACGACAGCGACGGACGCGCTCCGACCGCAGCAGTAGTGTACCTTAAAAAAAAAAAAAAAAAAACCCGATAAGTCTTTAATATAATATTATTATATTATATTATATTACGTTGTAGCGAATAGCGAATTATCGGTTTGTTCGTGTGAAAAGTTCGCGAGCGGCGGCGGCGGCAGTGGCGGCGGTAGCGGTGCATCGCCGAAAGGTGTAACACGGCGCGATATATACCGCATATATATATATATAGATCGCGTGCACCACTGCGGCCTGCATTCTCGATTGGTGCTATGTGTACGGCAATACGCATGGACTACTCGGATCGGGTCGGACGGTTAAGACGGCATTGGCTGCAGCACGTGGTGTCTTCCGGATCGATAGTTACGGCGGTGATAAAAACGCGCCAGCACCAGCAACACCACCCGATGCATCAGTCGTTATCGTGCAGTTGCTGATAACAACGGAAAAAGTAATTATTGCATCCGATTCCGTTTTTTCGCCTGTACGTATACACGATATATCATAATATTATAATAATATGATATTACTGTCATTATTAGGTATGCCTGTTATAATATTGTTCATCATACGAGTGTGTTTAACCCGCCGATTCCATGGCCTATCGTTTCGGATATTATATCGTAGTATAATAGGTATCACCGTTATAACGAGACGCGATAATTACGTTACACTGTATAAATAATATGACGATGTATAATAAAACACCAAGCTATATAGCGTCACTCGTCGACCACTTTGGCGCGCCAATATAACGTTATTACAACACATCATAATATGATGGTATTATGTCGTCGGTATACTCGCGCGTTTCGTGTGCATTGTTTCTCCGACGAAATTCTCCGATGTGACTCTCTCGGCGTGCATATAGGTACACGCGATTACCATATATACACACACACGACTAATCCAATATTATGTATATATATATGTATATTGTATACACAACGACGGTGGTCAGGTATATAATATCATAATATATTATTATTACACGATTGCGTTGTTTGTAATGCCCGCCGGGACGACTGTGCCGCCGCTCGCCGTGTATTACGCGCTTAACACTCGGTACGTCGCGTACAACACTCACTCCGGTGGATATTATAGGGATACGCGCGTTCCCCTGCGCCGATATTAATAATAATAATAATATAATTCCACAGCCCCGCACGACACGCACACACATTTTGCACATGTTATTATTAGCGATGTTATTGTTAGTATTATTATTATTATTATTATTATTACACAGGTGCCCGCGGGGGGTTGCAAATCACACACAATATCCCGATGTATGTGGGTACACTTTTGTACCCAACATCGTCGACTGGTTAGCGTGACATCGTGTTTAAGCGTGATGTTTGCGGATTATTACCCTCTGTAACATTTTGATCGTGCAGCCTGCCGCAGTGGTAGGCGCGTTAACGCGAAACTGTTTTTTATATACTTTTTACCGATTCATTCAATCAACACGTACGAGGTATCCTGCGAAAAATGAAGTAACATCTAAACAGTTCCTATTCAAAATGTTAAAATTTGAATCATTTTTTCATTAATTTCAATGATTTATGGGTAGTATTCGATTTATTTTTACTATCATTTTAACTGTTGTTTCAACAGGACATCATACTGAATTTTCATCTGTTAAAATTATTAATTTCATAATAATGCAATCCTGCGTGTTATAGTATTTACTTCAATTTACATTAAACACGTTTATACTGCACAGTAATAAAAAGTTTCCGCCAATAAAATAATTAAATGAGATCTATTTCTAATAGATTTTTATCGTTATTATTCAATTTTTTTAATATTTATTGCAAGTTTGAATTAGATAGTTTATTCGCATACGTACATAATTTATTCATGAATTTTTAATGCATTTGTTGAAGTTTTTAGGGCATTGATTTTCTGTATTAGTTAATAATTATACGATGGTTTTCGATTCCTAAAAGCCATTTTTATAACTCGTGAACATGCAACGAAAACATTAATTCTAAATAGGTACATTATTACTTATTGTTTCTAATAAAGTAGTACGTCCCATCATGATTCATGAACCCATAAACCACTAATATTTCAGTATACTCGTTTAATATAATGTATTAGATACGAAAAATACTAAAAAGCCGCTAATAAAATTTAGACGTAATTAATTTAAAAAAAAAAATCAATTTCGTTGACTACTGTTCAATTATTTTTTATACAAAATTGTTTAGAGGATTTTTAAAAGGGTAGAAGGTGATGTTGTGGAACGGTCTCCGGTCGGTCGTTAAGTTATAACGACGGTGGCTGTAATGGCCTACGCGAATCGATGTGGCGGCTGCTGTCGTCAAGCATTAGTATCATATTTTATTTGGAAATTAGCCGTTACTTCCGACTGTCGTTCACTAACCGAAAAGTTACACGAATAACAGTTGTAGTATATATGCGGTTGCGCGATTTTGTTACGAAAATGTATAGTATTATGCACAAACAAAATAAGAATACCTAATAATGACAGTGGAAATTTTTTTTGTGTTTTTTTATATACAGATTGCAGTCGAAGAATCAAAACTCAGTGGTAGCCACCCACTATCACTCTCAATCAATGATTGATCGTTAGTAGCAAAATAAACACACAAAACAGCAACATTTTTGCGTCCGCTGCGATATTATGCTATATACCTGTAGTCGGGTGCAGTGGCGACGGCGGCCTACTACGGTAGTGGCGGCTGTGTTGTTGGCACTCGCGGTATTAACACCGCGGATATTGACAGCGCAAAAGCTATTACAAGCACCAATAAAAGGCGGATTAACTCCTTCAGGTAATTTTTTATTTGAGTGTTTATTACGAGAGGGAAAAAAACCAATACCATCAAGTTAAATTAGTCGAATTAACGTTAATTATTTGCAACCACGTGGAATTGATTATTACTGTACAGCCGAGTGCCAATGTGTTATATAAGTATCACGCATTTACGATAAACATTAATTAAATATTATACTTAGTTGAACGAAAAAAATGTACGTCACCATTTGCCAAGGTGTGTATATTTCAATAAGCCACTATGTCGTACTCAGACGTCACTATTTTTTTCTCGATTTAAAGCAGCGTTGAATTAAAAAAATGCATAAATAAAAGCTAAGCTTTTACAACATTATCTTAAAATTAACGTGTTTCTATTGTAGACTTGTTATATTATAATGTTACCTAATTAGATAGATTTTTTTTTTATTGTATCTACAACTTATCTACAATTCGTTCTCGATTTCTATTGCAGATCCAATAATAAGTACACGAGTACATTTTTTATTTGTTTCTTTTATTAGTATTTTCATAAATTATTGTTTGTATGGGAAGAAAGTTCTAAAACGTTTTATATTTCAACTCTTCAAGTACATAGATGGACAAATTCAATAGATACGGATAATATTTGTATTTTTAAGAGGTCATAAAAGCTATAGCTTCTATAGAAAGAATCAGGAATTTTGGAGAAAATTGTAATTAAAATAAAATCATGATGAAAAAATATGAACTAGCGCAGTTATAACTTACTTTTGACCATTTTTTGGTAAAACTACTTTTGCTTAGAATCATCTTTATTTAAACTTAATTTGCTAAATTCTCGCATTACAGCAATCTACTAAACTCAGTTTCAACATTATTTTAAATTTATTTTCCTTAATTTCAGTCATCATTGAGAATGATAATTAAAACCACTTTATTTACAATATTTCTGTACCTACATTAATTTATTGTTTCAAGATTGCTAATAAATTTAAGCAAAACACTCTTCATTTTTTTTTCGCTATAAAACAAAAGTATCCAAAACTACTCAGGGGGTGAATGTCAAACCAAAATGTATACATTATATTATATGTTAATTTGTCTTGATTTTACTCAGCGACCATCTGATACTAATTATTACTGCTACGTCTGTAATATAATTTTTACTATGAGTACGAGCGATGGCAGTGAATAATATAACCGCTGACACATTACTGAAGTGGTACATGTATTATAGCATATTAGCATCGTCTGTCGCCGTAATAATATAAAATTTAATGTCTCACACTTACATGAACTACATAAGATATAATACTTTTTTGTTTTTTTGTTCTTTATATTTTTAATTTTAAACAAGCGGAAAATGAAAATGTTTTTTAAAAGATAAATTTTACGTTAGACATATCATACATCCATGTTATCGAAATAGAAACGTCATTTATAAACATCCTTGTAGACGTAATAAATTTCATAAATAAATAACGTTTAACGTTTCAAAAATTACATTATTATCTTAATATCGGTGAGTATTTGGTTCGTTGCCATTACACTGATCGTTATGAACACACACACTATCATGTGTCACCGACTGACCAGCTGTTAATTTACCGTGTCTCTTCGCACCATCATAATATCACATCTCAATGCACATGAACGCACACACATTGCCTTCTTTTCTTTATACCTCTCACAGACCATTTCTTCTACGCCACTTGACGGTAATAATAATTAAAGACACGTGCTGTACTGCTGTCAACGTTGGTCAGTCGAGTGAAACCCCCCAAAAGTACATATTTAATGTTATTTTCCCGTTTTTGGTAACGCGATATGAGTGTGTGTGTATAGTTCCTGAAGTATCATTAATTGTCATTATATAGTACACATGTCGTTGTTATTATACACCAACAGTTGTGCTGTGGAGTAGTTGTGGTACATGTGGCACGCGAACAAGACATAGAAATATATATTTTTGTTTAACAGATAATAAACTATTTTTAAGTAGTGTGAATTATACAATTTGGCTATAACTTGGCGTCGATAATGTTGCGCGGTACGGATTTATTGATAAATGAGATATTAATAATTTAGAAAATTTCATAAGGATAAAATTTTATTTATTTTAAGATTAACCTATCACATTTTATTTATTTTTAATTATAATTTATAATAACTTTTAGTAAATAGAAGTCAAAAAAAAATTTTGGTCTCCTAAAGTTCGTTATCAACACTTTTTTTATTTAAACGTCACTAAAATTTTAGCTACGTTTTAGCTTGTTTTTTTTCAATAAATTGATTTATCATTAAACTTTCCAGTAAATACATTTAACATTAATTTAATAAAAATTAAAATAATATATGCCTATATATTGATTTAAGTTACTATAAATATAAATATTGCGTAGGTACGTCTATAAAATACAGTTTATAATATTATTATATTTTATAATTTATTGTACTTTCATGAATATTATACCAATTTTTATTGATTATTCAGTATTAGATATAAATATATATCATAATAAATAATGATACTTAAATATTCACTAAAATTAGGTTATTTTTATTAAACATCAATACGTGTCGAAAACTATATTTATTACGTAACATCTATGACATATTTAAGTGAGTGTGAGAAAAGGTGAGAGCCTAAAATTAAGCCACGCGCCGTTTTATATAATATTTACAAATGCTGCGATTTTGACCGGGCTAAACGCTGTTGATGACGACATTCATTTCTCGAAAACATAATATAAATTAATAATCGACTGCGATTTTTTTCACTATAGGATAATACTGCGAATTATTCAATCCTAATAAAAAAAATGTGCATAGCTCATCATGAGTTCGATAAACTTTTATATAATGACAACAATGACGATATACACGTGCGTTATTACTAATTATTATTATACTTGTACCCACTTTTAAGAATTTTTTTTCATATTTTACTCATACGTTGGTTCATATCTTGCATATAATAAAAATAAAAAAAAGTCGGTTCTTCCGAGACAATATAACGTAGAAAAAGAGGGTTATTTGAAAAATACGAGGGTGGAAGAATTGATTAATAGCTAAAATAGTACTCGACAAAATGGTACTGAATGGTACGATATTTTATATCTGATGGCCAATAAATTATTATAATACCAAAAAAGTGATAGTGATGATAGAACATGCAGGGTTATCTAAATATTAAGTCGTACTAGTGATGATGTTTTACTTAGTTTTAGTGTTTTCTTGCGTGTACACCTTCTCGAACTTCTTAGCGATGCATTTAAAAAATATTTATATTTTTTTTGTAGGTTATATCTTTGAATTTCCATAATCGTAAAAATTATACTGACAAATAATATACAGTCGTCACTCGTTAATTCGAAAAACTCCATAAATCGAACTAAACGCTAAGTCCCCTGAGAAAACCTCTATAATTAGAAGAAAATACATGTATTCCGGTACCCTCGATAATTCAAAATGTCTGTCGGTGGGACAAACTCTACAATTCGAATTTTTATTCCATAAACCTCTATAATTCGAATTTCCTTAAATGCGATTATATGTAAGTTCATATGTAAATACAATGTACATACATATGAAAATTACGTACAATCTATTTGACGTATTCGTAATGAAACTAATAACGTCGGTGGTTTAATATTATCGTAGTTAATAAACGTTATCGTATCTTACTTACCTAATCTAAACATTTGTCAAGATTACGTCAATTTTTTGAGTTATCTGAAATGAACGAAAAAAGATGCGATACAATTTCCAATGCTATCAGTAAGTTAGACAACGCTATGAACCAAATTGTGGCCAGCAATTTATCACAAAAAAAAATAACAGATTTCTTTAATTATGTAAAATATAATAATATAATAAATAAATGTCAATTAATAATTGTAAAATATAATAATATGTATGTATGTATATTGTATAATAAATATATGTTAAAATAAATGTAATATGTACATACATACATACAATAATTGTTCACCTCTCTTTAATTCGAATTAATTTTTCCCTCTATTATTCGAACACTCGGTAAATCGAAAACCTCTATAAATCGAATTTTTAACTTGGTCCCCTGAATTTCGAATTATTGAGTGACTACTGTAAAAAATTTTAAGAAAATAGTTATCATGAATAAAAAAAAAACAAGGACTTGACTTGAATTATTAAAGACTTAAAACACTGCAGTACACTGTTATATTTAAACATAATAAGTAACTATGTATCCTCCTAATATCAAAATATACTAGTTACAAACATACATAGGGAGAGTTCTTATTAATAATATGGGTAGCTAGCTGTAAATCATATAAGGGACATTGAACTCAAAACATTTCGCTGATTCCCAAGTACAATTAATGTTCATATATTATATTATAATACATTACCACATTTCGGATTCAATCACAAATAATAAAATCATTGGTTTGTAATGCAATACTATTACTTTGTTAATAAATATTGATGATTATCATACAACAGATTGAACAAAATAAAGAATATTATAAATTGACTTAAAAAAATATTAAAATTGCACTTATGTACAACATATAATATATTATGCACGTATAATATATATATATATATATATATATATAGGTATATAAAATAATTATTAGTCTCGTATTACATTTAATAGGTGCTCATACACAAAAGTGATGTTATAAACTAGGTATGCTTACTAATTCAATTCAACAACCAAAATTAATTACCAATTACTAATAAATACAATTATTGTATTTTATTAATACGTCGTAATTTTTAAATTTATGACCAGCATACCGCATGTAACAATTATTCATGTTTATCGTACAGCGGTGGTGCTATAAGGTAATCTCATGCTTCCATTACTAACACATCTCAATATAAATATACTTTTATCGCTTTTAAAGATGTTATAAACTGTATAATAAATTATTATTAAGTATTTATACTACATACTTAATGTTTTATTCATTTTAATCAATACATATTTATCGTATAAAATATTAATTATTTAGTTAAGTTTCTTATACAAGACAAAATATGTTTAAATTATTTTTTTTCGACGTAAGGCTTTTTATTTTTTATTAATATCGTATTAATGTTGTGTTATAATAATAATAATAATGTTTACTGCTATCATAGTCAGATAGAATATTATATAACTTATAAATTATAATCATATACATATATATCTAATGGTGATTTTGAGTGAATGCATGAATATACGTGTGATTAAATCGTAAAAATAATCTACGAAAAACAATTTTATTATCTATTAGTCTGCCTTATAAACTGAAAGCTGATATAAGTACTAAATAAACAAAAGATCAACGAAATTATTTTTTTAAGGACCAATAGTAAAAGATAACATATACATTAGTCATTAACTTATTATTGTTTGTATATTATAATATTATTGTTATGTCAGCTAAGCTTCAATGATATAATGTCATATTAACTTACACAATACTATAATATGAGTGTACTATATATTTGTTTATTTTCATATACTTAATAATATCCGCATTACAATAAAATTGGAAATAAAATTATTTGTATTGGTCTAACATACTTGTAACATCCATATTATAATTCATTTGAAAATGACCTACCGTGCACACAATTAAATCAAGATTATAACATTATTATGCCTTTTTTTATGTAACAAATTTCAAAAGTATTTATACTAATAATTAGCTACAGCTAAAAATAAATAGTAACACTAACAAAAATAATACTATCCTATTTTAAATAAGTATTGTATGTTTGTAAGGCAAGAAATAATAGACTATAATGTAATATCCTCTATAAATAAATAAAATTGTATAATTAAATTAGTAAATAATTTACTTAATGTTACATCTAGTGCATTATGCATTTACTAATTTATAAACTAAATGGTTTAAATTCTTCATACCTACATTAGATATATTGCTAATGTGGTATACTTAGGTAATCAATAAACACCATATCCGCAAATGTTGTCACCGTCTTACAAACGTATAAATATTGTGAGTTTGATGTAGCCAATTTTGTTCTGTTAGCTTGAGTATTAAAGTAAACTAACCAATTGTTTCTAAATTTTGAAGTAAATTATTTTTATTTATATGTTAGATTTTTACGATTTTTTTTTTATTTTTAAACGAATTAGGTAGATATGTAAAATAGTAAAATATAAAAATGACTATAACTAACTTAAAAGTGTAAATATCCTAAAAATCAACTAATAATATTATCACTTTTTACCATAATAGTTGATAAATTCACTCTAGTACTGAAACTTACTACACGAAATTAGTTCTTTTTAACGTTAATTTTATAAATATTTTACGTTTGTTCCAAATAAATAACACATGTTATAGGTTTAGCGTATTTTCAATGACAAGATGTAATTTATGACACCTACTCGTAATAAAATTAATGCAATTGCCTATTAAGAATCTACTTAAATACAATTTTTGTTGTGTTATACTTTATAAAATTTATACCAAATAATAATAAAAAAAAACATAACTGATAGGCAAAACTAAATTTGACAATAGACACCAAAATTATACATTTATCAGTATTCAGTATATTAATTTTATATAAATACATTTTTATGTTGTAGATCAGAAAGAGGTTAAGCAATTTTAATTGAAATTCAATATTTTTTTCAATCATTTGTCTTAATTTTCATTGTTATTATTATTAAATATTCATATTAAACTCCTATAACATTTTTAAAAATTTCATAAATTCTATTAAAAATGTTTTTATTTATTTAGCAGTAACTTAAATATATAACTTTAAATTATACAGTATTACTCTAGTAATTAACTATTCAATAGTTTGTCAATTGTCAATAAGTATTTCGATTATTTTATCTCGTATTTAAAATTTCATTATATATTCGAACTTAAATATTTTTTTTTAATAATTATTTTTAGACGAGTATATCACACATAAAACAAGATTCTTTGAAACAAAAAACATAAAGTAATATTTGATTTTTTTAAAGCAGTTCAAGTAGGAACATTATTTTTAATCGTAATAGTCCCTATAAACTTATAAGTAATTTTAAATTTGTAATGAAATGTAATATAAAATACAATCACAGATAAAAACTAAACTTAATTTTAAAAAAAAAGTCTTTAAAATCTTTTTTATGTTTAAAATAGAACTAGGAAATTATTGATTTTACAATGATGTAATTTCAAATACATTTTAGTATAGCAAAATTATTCTAAAAAATTGTTGTAGTCATTTTTTTATTACCTAAGTTATATAATGTAATACAGTTTAAACATACATGAATACTTAATTATATATAAATATTTTTTTTTATGCATTCCAAACTAGATTATACTTTCATTAAAAACATAAATGTATTAAGTAATGTTCACTGATCTATTGATTATGATAATTTACATTATACCGAACTATTAATATAACTAAAATAAAACTATGATTATGGAGACTTGGGTTTCCTATATATTTTATATTATTCCAACTATAAAGAACCTAATGATATTCAAATAAATACATTTATATTTTGAAATTTGCAAATGCCTAATTATTATTTTTTAAATCTGTATAAAAACTTCGTACAATTTATAAATAAATATAAAAATATATATTAATGCTATTATGCTAACAATTCTTTTTAAAATTTAATGAATAGGTACTATTAATTCCGTTAAAATGTGTGATAATTATTAATTGTCAAAATCTATTCAAACCAAACTCTATTAAACTTTCAGCAAATATTTTTATGTTTTTAAAATTATTGTTTTTATCATAAGTATTAAATAATTAATTCATTATATTTTTGTAGAATACGTTCAGTATATAAAATTTATTTTTATTTTTTTCAACACTAAAAGGCATAACTAACGTTTAAACCTTTTTTATTGATTATAATATTACCAATTTTTATTATTATTATTTATGTAAAATTAAATACAAGAATTTAGATGAATTTTTTTTTTACAATAGAAAAAATATTCAATTTTCATTTCATTTTAAATTTACTAGCATTACATTTAGAATATTAACAAGCTTTATTTATACTAATCACAACTTTAAATCTCTATATTAGACTTAAACTTTGACTAAAAATTTTTATTTTTTGAACTTTGCAAATATTTTTATAATTGAAAAATATCTTTTTTAAATTTTTATTTATCAAATAACTATATAAGAATAGTATCATTAACTTATATAACGATAAAATATAGTTTTCATGAAAATTAACTTAACTAATTTTCACTAATCAGTAATCTATCTATATTAGGCTACAATATACATTCAAACATAATATTACTTATTACTATAATTATCTATAAAATCAATAAATAATGTTTTCTATTCATAATTTGATTTCAAAGTTTTGTTACATTTCCTCTTAAGAAAATTATATTTTTTCAAAACATTGAGTTAATCTAACCGATAATTGTACATACAAAATTGTATACATTGTATAAAGTAACACTTTAAATTTAAATATTACGGTTCACTTTCAATTTATGATGTTAACATTTCAAACATAATAGTATTAATTATTATCTAATTTAAACTTTAATTTAAAATTACTTTTAAAACATTTTTTGAATACTTTGACAAGCAAGTAAAGGAGCTATAACGATTTCAAACTTCATGAATTAAATTGACAGAATAACTTTATTATATACATTATACATTATAAATGTTACACATTATATTATAACTTATTAATTTGATAATGTTTTTTTTTTTTTTTTATGCATATAAAAATAGCTTCATCACTTTCCCAAAATAATATCAATTATTTTGCTGTAAACGAAGCTAATTCACCGTTGGCTATTTTGGATTTGCTTGAAGCTACTATGCAAATATACCACAATTATCAAAATCATTACAGCGGTAGTAATAAAAGCGATACTACTAGTTTTACATTGGGAGTGTTACTCGTAGCTGTATCAGAAGATGAATTTTCTAATCCCTATGTTTTTTCTCCTAACCGGTTGAGACCAGCATACAGTATGCAAGGTAAATCCAATATAAATAAATTAAAAACTAAACAATAAATTAACAAATAATTTGAGCTATTTAAATGATTCATACAATTTAAACAAATTAGGTTCGTTGAGACAATTAAAAGTTCCTGACATTGTCTACAAACGTGCAATTCAATTGTTACGAGGTGCAGACGAGTTAACTATAGCTGCAGTAGTACGGCAAGAACGTGCGAATACTGGATCTATAGTATCGTTCTCGCTCGACTCCAACAGGTATCACCAATAAAAATACTTAGAATAATTAATAGAATAAATAAAAAAAATCGATATTAACATTAATGGTATCATTCAGATATTTGGAATTAGAATCGAGTGGACGTAAAGACGAGGTGAGATTGCACTATGTTTCTCAGAGTAGCCGTCGTGTTCATACCGAAGTATTTGCATACGCTTTGGCTGATGGCCATTGGCATGCTGTGGCCATAACACTGAGCGGTACCCAAGCACGCCTGTTCATAGACTGCCGGCTCATATACACGCGCACTTTGGCCGCCGGACCGGCCGACACTAGTTTTTTAGGATCACCGGATCTGTACATAGGCCAACGCAATAAAGGAGTACATTCAATTTTCAAGGTATTATAAAATAATTAAAATTGTTCAAAATTGTTTGAGAATGAACGTGAGATGAACATATCGTTATTAATAGGGACTTTTACAAGACGTCCGATTGATTAGAGGAGCAGATGGACAACGTGTGCAGTGCCCTAACCTGGATACATCATGTCCAACGTGCGGCCAATTCATTGCCATGCAAAAAACAATGGAAAACTTGAACAAAATTGTGCATTTGTTAAGTGATAAAGTACGTAAAAGTTAAAAGCTAAAAGTTTGAAAAATTATCAATATGTTTTACACACAGCTTGAAGCGGCCGAAACGAGAATCGCCGAATTAGAAACTTGCGAATGTCGCAAACCATGCGTACAATATGATGAACGAAGTAATAATACGGTAATGAAAATTGACGGATCAGTATGGCAACATGAATGCGAAACTTGTACATGTTTGGTAAGTACAAACTGCTAATATGCCATTAACGTGATACATATGAAATGATAAATCAATTAAAGAATAAAATGTATATATGATATTTTCAGCGAGGTCAAGTAGAATGTTCACCACTTAGATGTCCCCAAGTCAATTGCAAATTTCCAATTAGAAAATCTGGTGAATGTTGCGATACTTGTCAAAGTATGTTAACACAATATTTAATACTTATAAAACTATTACAATAATTATACGTGAATTACAAATCATAACACTAATGAAATGAAACTATTATTTTTAGAATCATGCCGAACTAAAGGTAATATTCTACTTGAACACGGTGAAACTGTCAATTTAGAACCATGCTTGACCTGCATTTGTCTCAATGGAGTTGTCAAGTGTGATAGAATAGACGCACAAACTCAATGTCCAGTCTTGGAATGTGATATATCAGAACAATTTTCCGTACCCGATCAATGTTGCAAATTTTGTCCAGGTAAAATTGCATAACAATTATTTAATTAGTTTTTATCGAGTGTTGTAAAATAATATTGACAGTTTTTCTTTAAGCCACATCCAAAAAAATTCAATTTCTTTATAAATGTTTGTTAAAGAAACAGAATTATAAAATTATATTTAAACTTTGCTTCTTTGTAAAAAATTGAAAATAATATAATTTAAAATCAATTATTATCTAGAATAGTAGAATCAATAGAAATTTAAATTATTTCATAAAAAAACAATATGATATTTGAATAGTTAGGTACTAAAATAATTATACCAGGGACATAATTATTATTAATATAAGAACAATTATTAAGTATCTAATATCTATGTACTGTATGGATATCTATATAAATATCTACTGTATATCTTTATACATATTTAAGTTACATTCTTTCAAATACATAAGTATTTAGTCTGTTAAAAATATATATTTATTATAGATATAAAATAAATACATTTATATACTAATTTTTTTTTTAAACTTATCAGTTATATGCTGGCTCAAAATTAAATACATATACAATTTTAACAATATTTTTTAATGTTATGTTTATTACATTAGAAAAATACAAAGGAATAAAAATAATATAAAATATAAGTTTATAAAAATAAAATCATTAGAATGAGATAAAGGCAATTTATAGACTATACCTTATGTTGTAGTGAAATATCAATATTCTACTATAACTTTTAACTATTATAAAATACTTTTCCCCCATATTATTTGTGGCTTACAAAGAAATAAGATACGTTTAAGTGCATAACCTTAGTAACACATGCCTTAAAACATGTGCATTTAATCTTACACATATGTCACATATGCCAACAGTTTAAATTATTAGGGGTTCGGAAGTAAATATTGCTTTCAATACGATGCCAACTTGAATATGAAGTACCAATTAACTAAAGTTATCTAATATGTACACTATTAATAGGCAATTACTAAATAATAACCACTGGTTGTTAAAAATTATTCTTCTTAAAAAAAGTATTTTGGATACCGACATTATTATAATTTATAAGTTATAAAACTGTTCGTTTCTATATATTTCAAACTCTCAATATTTTACCGTAAGTCTAGTCTGTAACCTTTTAAAAATTAACAACACATGTTGTTAAAATAATAAATACTTTTTGAAAATGTAAACAAGATTTTGGTATTGAAACTCGACGTAATTTTACTCTCATGAAATATTAGTATTATTTAAGTATGAAATAATTGATATTATTGTTTACTAAGTACTAACAATTAAAATTTAACAAACATTTAGATTCGCATGTTTCTTATTGAATGTGGTTTTTTTGTAATAATTTGTATTTAAATAATTATTTACAATAGTCAATGATAGTGTAGGCCGTTTGGAAATCTCAATTTTTCAGACAGTCTACGGGTACAATTGTAAATAATGTGTTTGTTGTATTAATTAATCATTTTTTAAATACTAAACAAAAAATAATAATAAATGCAATTATTAGATTACTATATAACAGCGAATATAAGGAAAAATTCTTTCCAAAAATGGGGGAAATGTGTCCAGGGAGGAGAAGAAAATAGCCTCGATAAATTATTATTTTTATAACGCCTTTTATTAATTTAATTTTAATCTTATATGTGTGTGTATTGTATGTAAACGCTTATGCAGGCGTCGATTATTGTGCACGAGGTGGACGTGACTCGTGTGATCCGAACGCTATTTGTATCAATCTAAAAACCACACACAAATGTGCGTGCGCTGTTGGGTACGCTGGTACCGGTTTACAGTGTGATGGTAACTAACAGAATTAATAAATTCCGCTTGTTAACTTGCGTTATTACATTAATAATAACGCCTTTAATAGCATTGTGTGCGTATGATAATATCCGATAATAACACGAATCGAATTAATAATAATGTTCAGATGTGGACGAATGCTCGAGCGTCGGCGGCCAAAACGGACATCACTGTGATGCGAATACGACGATTTGCGTGAACACACCTGGATCGTATTCGTGCAAGTGTAACGCTGGATATGCACATATCAATAGGTTTGAATGTGTAGACATCGACGAGTGCAGCAGCGCGGAACCACCATGCCATGTACACGCTGTTTGTGCTAATTCGCCCGGCAGTTACAATTGTAAGTGCGAGGACGGTTACGAAGGGGATGGATACACTTGCAGACGTGAGTATACATAGTTTTATACCAAAGCGGTCCTTATTCCTTATTTCATTTTTAGTTTTACTTACGTCACGTAAACCCTTCATTAGTTCAGCTCGTACGTTTTTATCAAATAACTATGTCTGTTAGCTGCGTTACTTACAAAAATTATAAACAGCTGGTTCTTACTTGAAGTACTTAGTAAAAACCGTGTGTTAACAAGGATTAACTCTAATAATAGTATACGGATCTAACCGATTTGTCCACTGTATGTTAATTACGAATGTTTGTATGATGCACGTATTTTACAGCTATATGCCAGCAAAAGTGCTTGAATGGCGGCGTATGCACTCGGCCGAACGTGTGCTCGTGCCCAAACGCGTTTGAAGGGCCTGCTTGTGAGTTGGATGTGGATGAGTGCACCACCGGTGCACATGGATGTCTAGGCCCTTCGTCCCGTTGCGTCAATATGGCTGGATGGTATTATTGTGCATGCAGCCCAGGTTATCAGAACGTGGTTATGTATCCTACTTCAGCCGACATCGCTACCACAGCTACTAGTGACTTGAACGCCATGACATCGACCTGGTCGTCTTCGTTGGGCACAATGTGTCAAGGTAAGAGCATTATTTATTATTGATATATAGAAATCAGCGCTCATGGGGGAAATATGAGGGTATCTGTAATGGGTGTGTTCATTTTGAATTTAATGATAATCTATTGCGTGAAAAAAAATAATGAAGACAATTCGGAGACGTGTGTCAGACTTTATTTTTAAGCATAATTTTTTTTATTTTTTTACTATAAAACTAATTTTTTTTTTATTTCATTGCATGTATTTGATTATTAATTATTATAATATATCGTTTGTATAGTTTTATTAACTAATAACTATAAGTTAAAAAACTAATTTAACTCATGGATAATGGCGTAAAGAATAGGTTCATGTTAAAATAGCATAAAATCAGTGTTGACAATTTCATTACGAATCTAATGATTAAAAGTTTCTAGTCACTACAGTTAATATTTTTAAATTACAACCAAATAACTAAAATTTGTTATAGGAAAAATCGCTTTTTCTTTTAAACGTCTATTTTTATCTAAAACAAGAAAATATATCAAAAGTTTCCCAATGTCTATAAATATATTTAAAAAGAGCCGGATTACATTAAGTCTTTAAAATATTTGGTAAAAATTTAAGTCTATGGTTATTAGTTATTACCTTTTGAATTATAACAAAATAACACAATTTTATTGATTATGTCTAAAATTGTTGACACGTCAATATTTTCATTTTTCATTGTTGTAAACTTTGTTAGTTTGTATCATTTAATTATTTTAAAAATACTAAAATTCCTTAAGTATCCACTAGATACAATTTGATAATAGGCACAACAAATTTGAAATTTTATACAGAATCTAAATGTTTGTGGAATTTAATTTTTAAAATAATTACATTTTTTAATCTTATATTTTTAAATAATTAAAAATATATTAAAATTTAATAAATATAACAAATAATTAGTTGAATTTATCTGAATCACTTTTGATTATTATTCGTAATTTCATGATAATTCATATAAATAAATCAATCTATCGGCAGAGCTTTCGGTTTCATTTTTAGAAAACTAGTAAGCTGTAGTAATTTATTTCTATCATGATTTTGAAATAATATTTTTATTTTTTTTTATTATTACAAGGATTTACTTTACTCTAAATTAGTAATTTTTTTACTGAATTTTAACATATTTTTTTTAGTCGTTAGAAAAAATGCAATACATAAAAATAATTTAATGTAATATAATATTATTTTTTTTATCTATGCTATTAAAAAACTTTACTATAAAAAACTTTTGAAAAAACTCATATTAAAAATCTACATAAAATTACTTATTAATTAAATACCTATATTGATTTACTGTGGTGATGATTATTCGTAAATACGTTTATGATATAATTCGGAATATAACTACTGTACATCTGTACATACTTTTCAGTCCTGTAACTACGATGTATGTACTAAATAAATAGTATGCCTTTGTGTTAATGTATAATGTCTTTTTGATTTTTTTTTTTAATATTTAGACATCGACGAATGTGCGATTAATAACCATACATGTCACTCAACGGCTACATGTGTGAATACCATAGGTTCGTATGAATGCAAATGCCCTACAACTAATGCCAATGCTGGTAACATCTCTTCAAAATGTAAATCGAGTAAGTTAATATTATATCTTATCATGTGCGGTTAACCGCGTTGTAGGATTAAAACTCAGATGTTGTTTTAATTTTTTTTCAACCACTTGCAAAGGCTGTTTGTATAAAGACGGAGATAATGCAGTAACAGAAGTGAATGATGGTGCCTGGTTCATTCCAAAAGAGTGTACTAATTGCACGTGTACAAGTGGACGTTTACATTGCGCAAAAATTGAGTGCGATTGCACAAATAACGACCATATACAATCGATTTGTTGCGCCCATTGTAACGCACAAGCGTCGTGTGTTCATCAGGAATTGACGAACGTAAGGTTTCGAAGTGGCCAACAATGGATATACCAGTGTCAAACATGCGAGTGTTTAGTGAGTAGATAAAAAAATTAAAAGATGTTTTTATTACAATTATGTATCTGTAACATACGAAGGTTCGAATATGCATATAAAACACATGTATTAAAATGTTTTTCTTAGTAGGTAGATACAATGACAAGTGTTTCAAGATATTTAGAATCAAATCAGCTATAGTTATTAGCTCTTATTTCAATGCAATTATTCCGTATTTCAGTATTTGTATAAATATTCATATAATATATTGAATATATTCTCGATTGCTTATGAAACATAAAAATCTATACCTAATCATGTCTATAAAATATAAACAATAATATTTAAATAATAATAAAAATATTCTAATATGTATTAGAATTAAATTTTTTTAAATAGACAATAATAATTTAGATGCAACGATTACAAGACATGTGTCTTTAAAAGTTTCCAAACACAACGTAAAAAAAAATTATCCAGATGATCTTAATCCGCTACTAGAACCAATAAAATTATCCAATTACCATAAATATCACATGTTTAAATTAGAATACATAGATCATGGTATATATGGGAGCAACTACATTAGTTTTTCAAATACACATTTATTGAAATCCGAGACCTATATCATGTCATAATACATGATAATATCGCAACCAAATATTGATGATCGTCATGAATGTCTCTATACACATGATGTTCATATTAATATAAATCATTCTTGTTGCACAGATGGGACAAGTAGATTGCTGGCCAATGCAGTGTCCACCGATGTTGCCGGCAGGTGCGGGCAGCTGTAAGGACTCCACAGCATCCACGTTTGCGGACTACAACAACCCGGTAGCTGATTGTTGCGCACCGAGATGTGATTCTAAATCCATTTTGTCGACCTCATCGGCGGCGACGACCACTACCGCAATAACCGCTGCTGATCCATGTGTTCACCAACAGCAGCAACTTCAACAACTAGACCGGCACCGCGGTAGTGAAATAATCGACGACGGCGGCAGCGGCGGTGGAGAATACCACAGCAACAACAACGACAAGGGCGTCAATAACGGCAAAAACAATGACGACTACGACAACGGCGGCGACGGATACGACAACAGAAATAACAACAGCACAACGCCGCCGACCGCGGGCCAACCGTGTTTTTATGGCGAACGAGCCTATCAGTCGGGAGCCCGTTGGGATGATCCGGTGGATATGTGCACGACGTGCGATTGTAAGGTAAAAGAAAACGGCAATACGCAACGCCATTCTTACTCAAAAAATCAATTTACATATCAATATAATATACGCATATAGGCACTTATTGTACAAAACGTATAACAACTGTAATATAATATATAGGTATTAGCGAGTATCATAATATTGTCATTGATTCGATGTTTTTAACTGGGGACACGGTTCACAATGTTTCGATGGACAATATATCCCCCATTTATAAAATATCATAGTATATACCTACCTATACTATCCAATACTAGGGAATACATTTAACGTGAGACACTCTTTGTTTCAAAAACTATTAGCGTTTTCGAAAATATGAATTGCATTATATTATTTTAAGTTTAAGTCGTTATCATGTTTAAATTTTTCAATTTAAATTGTGCATTTTTTATTTTTTTATTCCAAACTCAATATATTTTTTGGATTATTTCAATACATAGCAATCAAATTTCGGACGATTATTTTATGAATTTATAAAATATTTAAAGTTTAGAAGACTCGAATTTTATAGTGGTATTTTGCAAAATATTGGTCTTCTATACGCTCTCTTCGTAAAGACTTTAAACATTGTTAACTCTAAACAACTACTAGTCTAAAACTTGATTTTTTTTTAGATCAAAATATTCAAAATAATATTTTGCTTTGAAATATTAATTTAAAAAATAAATATGTTAGAATTTAAATAAATAAAATAAAATATTTCTTTTTCCAAAAATGTTGTTTTGTAACTTTAAAATTATGTAAAAAATATTTTCAAAAACTAATGAGTGTCTTCGTTTAATGAATCACTCCGTATAAGTAGATAACATTTCTGAGTATATCATTCATGCTACATGATGTAAACATACATTATACATATACCTACTCTTATAGTAATGCAAAAAACAATCATACAAAATATATACATTTTATGTACGCGCACGGCTCGTATTTTGAATATACAACATTAATATCATTATTATCTATTTTATAGTCAACGCGTGTTTGGCCACTTAGAAATCTTATTATATTATGTATATATTGTATATATATGCCTTTAAATATATATATATTTGTAATTCGGTATCTTTGTCGTGCATGCATATAGTGTGTGTATATTGTATAATGTATATGAATATATGCGCGTGTTAATAACGCTGACTGGCTGATTTACATAATAATATTATTATAAATTATTATTACGTTCAACCAAATTAGTACATAATATTATAGATGCGTCGTGCAATAACATTATTTTGCAATTAATACCTTTGTAGATCTTAACAAAATATATCGTTTTTATAACTCCAATATTTAATGTAAGAATCAAATCCGTAACGAATAACAAGATACTTTTGTTTTATACAACTAACTATATTTGCCTTATCGTATATTTTCGATTTTATTTTTTCTATTAGATTGTGTGTGTGTTAATATACATTTTGTGTGTTTCCATTCAGGTGCCGCCATACTGCGCCCAATCGGTGAGCAATATCGCGTGTTGTGTGCATCGGTAAACTCTCACATCTTTTTTTTATCCAATATAACCTTTATATATTTCGGCTTTCTCTGCTGCTATTTTAATGTATTACATAAATTTATTACCTTTTCTATTGTACGATATTTATCAGCTTTTAATAGATTTTTTCTCAGCCCCTTCATCGTAAATCATATTTCCGATGTCGATCTACCGGTCGTTCGATGTTTCAGCGTTTAAGCGCATTTTAATCGTTACATATTATATCAACCATCAAAAATACCACCACCACGCATGCACATCTAAATAATTAGTTTGCACGACTTTACCTGGTAGCACGTAATATAGTCTTGTGTAATTTGTTACTCTCGTTTAAATGTTTACACTCATGAATAATTGTTGTAATGTTTATAAAATCACGCACGCATGTACTCACATTCACACTCTTGTTTTTTATTAATCATTTGTGGTTACTATAAGTGGGATATAAATAAAATCTTGCAGTAAAAAATAGCAGTATATGATGCTCCTTGCAAACATTACTAGACAGCGCACAATTTTTTTTTTGTTATACGTACCTATATATATATGATTAGTTTTCGTCGACAGAAGATTTTTATTTTGGTTGCATACGATGTCATCATCCATGACGACAAAATAACGAGCGTCTGTCGGCGACGTCTAATTTGCATTTTGTCATTTGTGAATAATAAACAATGTTTATTTTTAGGACGGAGTACTATGTTGTTCTTACAACATGCATCACTGCAATAATAGTGCTCTTGCCGGTGCATCAAATCAATCATCAAGTACAGATGTCAACTATAATATGTCTACTTATCAGTCTCATCATATTTCTAACGAAAACATTAGTAGTCAATCTACCGATACGAAATTACAGCAAGATGTTGTTAAACGAAGTCTTAGGCGTCGAAGGCAAGCAAAAATGGTTAACAATGATGGCAATAATAATAGGGATTCTGTCAATATTAATTTTCTTGAGTATAGTGATAATAACAATAATAGCTTTAACAAAAAAGACTGGTGGTGGAGGAAAACAAGACGGCGAAAAAGAAGAAGGACTCAAAATACGAGTAGCCGTCAGAACCAAATTAATAGTATTAGTAGTGAAAAACATTTTAACAGTAATAATAAGTTTATCAATAATTTTGGCATTAATAGTAAAAATGAAGACAATAATATTAATAATAATAATGATAACCACCACGATAGAATTGTTGTAAAGACTGCTGTTGTAACTTAAAGTAGATTTTATTTATTGTGTTTGATGAGTGATGACGAGTCGAGAGAAAAGATAACTGCAAGCAACACCGGCGGCGACAATATTAAATTTAATTTAAATAACACATTTTAAGTATTTATTAAGAATAGAAAACCAAATTTACTAAACATAGGTAACATAAGATAGGTAGATAACACAATAATATGTTACCTAATTTCTTGATTTTAATTTTAAAATCAATTTTATACTTGTTAAAAATCGTTGCCACCGCTGTTTGCTATTTCCGCTGTGATAATATATAATACAAATAATTTTAATGCTATTAGTATAATATGTATAATGTATACAATATATACATATTATCATATATTACATGTATAATGTATATATATGTATATATAAAATACATTATAGACAAACAGCCTATATCTCCCCTCCCCTCCTCTCCGCTATCTATTTGTTATATTTTGTAATTTTAAAAATGTACTATTATAATTATTAATTATTAGATAAGTTTTATTATTATTTATTTATTTATTTATTTATTTATTTATTTTTGATTGAATTACTAATAAATTAGATAATCAGCTGTGCAGGGTGTATTCAACAAACGATAATAATATTATATAATAATTATTATAAATCTATATAATCTTGCAAATTGTTGAAGTGTTGGCTTTGTTGGTATTAAGAAATATACTACTATTATTAGAAATTTATTATGTTATGAATAATGTTCATTTTGAACTAAAATACAAGACTGCTGGTCAAAAAATGTAAAATATAGACGCGTTTAAAATATAGATGAATATAATATATACAATAATAATAAGTGTGTGTATTATAATTAATATTTAAATTATTTAAAATAATTAATATACCAACACCGCCGCACTAACGAATGCTCTTTTCCTATAAATTTAATTGGCAGCAGACAATAAAAATATTAAACGATGATAATAATAATTATACATATTAAATATATAATATATAATATATATATTATCAAGTTAATAATCATGTCTATGTATATATTATATATATATTACTATTAATATTATAGAATAATTTTTCATTGTTAAATTAGTGATACTATTGTTTTGTTGTAACTCATAAGTTACGACATGAATTTGCTCTCTTTCTTTCTGTCTTGTTAAAAGGTGTTGTAATTAATTAAAATATTTTACAAATCAAATAAAACGATACTGATTTATAAAGTAAGACAAAATAATCAGTGCTCGGAAAAGACACCTATACACATCCGAAACGCTGTTTTTGGAAATCATAATAATATTATATTTAAATGTATTGTTTCTTGTGAATGTATATAACACTATTAGTTTTTATTCTACAAACCAAAAATGAAATTATTTTACCATTATGAATAACATTGTAGATTGTTGAATTCATTTTTACTATATTTATTTAAAAAGTATTAATTAATATTTGTTGTAATATACTTATCTAATACTTAGTTATACTTAATAAATAATAATCATTAATCATTAAAATTGATAAATTAGGTATTTGATTTAAAAATTAAACTGCTCTTCTCTTCTCTTTCATGGACTCATTTTTATTTTTTAGTTATATATTTAAAGCGTTTCGGTATAGAAACTATTTGTTTTTTCGAGCACTGAAATTGAAAAGCCTATACTGTTCCTATAAAAACCGAGTCGTATTAATTATTTGTTTATTTAAAATAGAAGTTTAATACTATTATGTTGAATATGTATGGATGTATAACACTACTGTTTACTGTATACTACGATATACTATATACTATATTATATGGAATAAACATAAGACATATATTTTTCAGTGTAAACAAATGAAATAATCACTGTAACAATGCGTAACATACAGTCACAAATACACACGTATACACTTACTCACTCACATACATATACGATATACACCTACTGTATAACAATTGTATAATAATGATTGATAATGACAATGTTGATAATAATAAATATAGAGATAAAAATTTTAAAAATGTGATGATGAATTTTTTTGATATAATTCTAATATTTTTAGTGAACATTTTGAAAACTATTAATGCACAAAAACAGCTTATATTATCTCCACTGTTTGAATTGTGCACCTACTATCTTCAGTTTTCATCTGACTCGTCTGAGGGAAAGAGCAACTTTTATATAATATGGCAGTAGTTTTGAAAGTAAGCTTTCCATTTAAATATACCCTAGCTAACTTAACCTAATTATGATGTTATTAAATCTAATTAATAAATAAATACATGTGAAAATAACATTACAATTTTAATTATAATGGTATCAACAATAATTTTGAGTTAAAAAAAAGGTTTAGCAATTTGATACCATCAGTTGTATAAGAGATATCGAGTGAGATTATTGTAGAAGATGGGTTAAATTTGAATTTAATAATACATTATTGTAAACAAAAAAACTGAAAAAACGATCTAAGCGAAGACGATGGGGAATTATTGATTCCGCCGAAACTACTTGTTTAGGAAAAAGGTTTGTATCGATTCCGCCAGCTATTAATTCCGCCGATTACTGTTTATTATATTTATACATCGATTCCGCCGGCTACTCTTTATAACATCCACATATCGATTCTGCCGGACACTGTTTATCTCCCCCCCCCCTTGTATATGTATTTTAAAATATATATTAGCGGTTCCAAAACTTTTTTAGTTCACATCGTCTTAAAAATGAAAAAATGAATTGCACCTTCTATGAATAAATAAATCACAAATTTAAAGTATTTAATTATCCAAATATTTTTTATTATTGTGACAAAATAAATTAACAATAATATTATTAAATTTCTATTTAAAGTATTACAAAATTTTTAATTTTTATGAAAAAAAAACAATAATTATTAATATTAATATTTATGTGAATATATTAAAAAATATTAAAATGTATAGTCTAAATTGTATAAAATGATAATAATAATTGTATAAATGTATAATTAAAAATTAAAATGTGTATCCTAATTAATACGTGTATGTAAATATATTAATGATAATAATAATTGTATAAATCAAAATTAAAATGTATAATCTAATTAATATAAATATAATATAAATGTAACTACTTTAACTAAGTGATCTTGGAAATTTTATTACCGTTCAAATCATTTGATACATTTTTAATATTTTGTTTTTTTTTTTTTTTAAAAGCACTATTTTTTACTGATTGTACTGATATTTATTCCATTTATATGTATATAAGTGTCAGTTTGTATTTTTATATTTAAAACTTGGGTAAATATGAAAATTTTGGGATGCGCTTTTATGAATTATGAATTTAATTTTGAGTGGAAAGACTCACATCTATTAGTAGTACATTCCGATGTTATTTCCCTTGATGCTCAAATACGTGGATTGAATTTTGCTCCTTCATCAATATAATAATCAACTAAATAATCGCAAAACTTTCCTACTCTTTCATCATCTGGAGCAATTGACATCAAATCTGTCGTAAAACATTTACTAAGAGGATGTCGTACCTGTATGTGTTGTCTCCGTCTTACACATGTACGACATAGTATTCGTTCACCGATAAACAGTAGCCGGTGGAATTAATATCCAACGGAATCAATATCTAAATATTATAAATAGTAGCGGGCGGAATTAATAGCCGGCGGAATCAATATGTAGATATTATAAACAATAGCCGGCGGAATCGATATACTCCCAAGACAATTTGTCATCTTATATCATTTAGTACATTTCGATTTCATTGTATATTTTTTAATATTACCATTAAAGTAATTTATTTTACAATTAGTATAACAGTAGGTTGATTACATTTTCGGAAAAAATATTGCAATTATCAATTATAATTATTTAATTATTATAGTAAGATATATTTATACCTTATTTTATTTTTTATTTATTGTTATAAATTAAAATGTTTACTACAAATAATGTAAAACAGTGTGAATACCTCTAAATTCAAAATATTAACAGATGACATCTTAAAATAAATTAACTTTTTTTTTTAAATATTGTTTCGTGTAGTAAAATACATAATTAACACAAATACTTCTATACAATAAAATATCTATACAATCGAATTATATTTTAATTTATAAAAAATTAATTAACATCGTGTTATTTATTGTTAAATTACGTAATTTCATCCAAAAGTTCATTAAAAAATTGATTTTGTATATTTTTATTCCCAATATGAGCTACTTATAATAAACATTGTATAAATGTTTAAATCTTAGTTATAACAAATTGAACATTTATACAATTTTTACTGCAAAACAGTGTAGTTTGTAATTTTCGTGATTTGTAAAAATATGAACTTAAAATGCGTATAAAAAATATGTCGTCTAAGTATACTTAATAATTTTATAGAAATATAAGAACTAATAAGACATTTTCTTATATATTTTCAAGACTTTTGATCTAGTAAACAATTTTCTATCGATTTAAAAAAAAAAAATTCTCTTTCTCGTGCCTATAAATACTATGTCTATCATCTTCTTTTGGAGCAGTAAAAATGCTTCAATTTCCTACCATGGAGATGATTTATGGCGAAAAATTAAATCTAATTGATACTTTGAAGGGTCAAAAGTAAAAACTGCTAGTACATTTCTAAATAATCAAAAAAAAAAAAAAAGAAACGAAAATAAAAGATTTAGGAAAATAGGAATTGTTATACAAATCTAGTTTTTAATAAAATCAATTTTTTTTTTTTTTGAAACTATAAAACAAATAACTGTAAATAAGTAGTAAAAATTTTCACGAGATGAACATATTATCATTTTCTATACATGGTATAATTTGGTTATTATCTATACACAGAATTGTTTTAATATTCAATGATATATCATTAGATTAAAATTTAATTCATCTCTCGTATTACACTAGATCCCTGTTTTACAGCATAGCAGTATCTACTAATAAAAATTCCCCCCCCAATTATTAAAGAAAGCGCTATACAATTTTTACTTTTACCTAACCCTCCCTCTTCAAAAAGTGCGAATTATATCCAATTTACTACCAGAAATCACTCCAAAATTGAAAATCGAAGCATTTTTACTGCCCAAAAAAACAGATAGAAAAATAAATACACATCGTTACTTTACCCCAAATCTAAATATAGGGAAGTTAAACTACTTTATAGAGGTTTTAATTAAATTTTTCTATTGAATAGGCCACTTTAATGGAAGTTTAACGTAAGTTTAAATTCAATAAAAAACTATTGAGTACAAAAAAACGATTTTGACCAGAAATCAAGTATGAGCTATTCTTGGGAAAATTTTCTGATGAAAATTCTTGAGAAGAAATTTCCAGAGATTTCAATGAACAAACGTAAATTAACGGAAATTATAGTAAAATTTTTATAATAAATTACAATTAATGTATTAAAAAATAAATAATGGTGTATTACAATTCAATCAATGCAATACTCATGTTTTTCTTTTGGTAAATTTAAATTTAAAAAGCAATATGAATTCTTAAAAATATAAAAATAAATACAATATAAGGTTTCGGTTTCAAACCTTTTAATTAAAGTTATATATAAATTATAAACTTATAAATTATAAATCAGATATTGTTAACATGAGTCAATACTAAAAACCCGTAATAATGCTAACGTGAATTTGTCAACTTTAAAAATGTATGTAAACCTAAAAACTTCACGTATTTACTATTTATAGTTTATACCATACGTGTGCCTATAATACATAACTTTCTACGATTATAATTAAAGTGGATTACCTTAAAATTGAATCTCAGGCAATATTAAAAATCTATCAGAAATGTTCAACATTTTTTAATTATTATTTTTAATTTGATAAGCCTGGCAGATTTTTAAAATTTTCAAATAAATTGTTAATAGTATTATTTTACTTTTAAAAATTGTATAATGTTTTTGTATTTTTAATTCATAGAATCTTTTCATCAATTTTTGAATTAATATTTTGGTATGAAATATATTTACTTACCTCTAGCTCATCGGAACTCCAAAC